AAGGCGAGGTTGGACATAGGGGCTCGGAGCAACCTGCTCTAGTGGAAGGTGTCCTTTCCAACCCAAACCATTCTATGAAATATCACCCTGGTGCAGCTGAGACTGGAACTCAAAGCTTTTTAGGCAGAAGAAGCTGGTCTGTGTTAATGGCCCACTTAGGATATATCTGCACCATCTTACTCCTTTTTATACTGCAGCTTTTTAAATCCAGGGGTGGGGTAAGCATATACATGAGGTGTTGGCATTTAAGCATCTAACACCATTTTTAAATTAAAGCTGTTTGCTGGAAGGCAGCGTGGAAGAACCCAGCAATTTGCTTGGCTCTGCCTGGAAAAAAAAAAGCTGGATGGAGAAAATGCAGAAAATATATATTAAAACCATATGAAAATCATGGCTAAACTGGAGGAAGAGGAGGGGAGGAAATGCACAGGCTCTACAGCAACCCTGAAGAGTCATAAAATTACATGGTGCATGTTGGCTTGATGGAGGTTACTTATAAAGGTCCATGTATTCTAATTCCCACCCGCTCCCATGTGCACAGGGCCCAGATTTCCTGCAGTTACATGATTTTCATACAATCCCAGCCTGGTTTGGGTTGAAGGGACCTTAAAGCTCCTCCAGCTCCAACCCCTGCCACGGGCAGGGACACCTTCCACTAGAGCAGGTTGCTCCAAGCCCCTGTGTCCAACCTGGCCTTGAACACTGCCAGGGATGGGGCAGCCACAGCTTCTCTGGGCACCCTGTGCCAGCGCCTCAGCACCCTCACAGGGAAGAGCTTCTGCCTTATCTCCAACCTGAACTTCCCACATTTGGTGGCTTTAAACAGGCTAGGATGGAGCCTGAAAACAGCATGGCAGAGGCGCTTTGCCTGGGCTAATACCATCATCTCCACGGCAGCCCAGGTTGAGAAGTGGGTTAGTAGAACAGCACCAGACATTAACTGGGATGCTTCAACATGCTACTGTGATGGCTCATTACCAAACAGTTACAGCCAAATTCTCCCAAGTGTCCATCTGGGGTATCTAAACTGAAAGCTCATGGAGAAGGTCATCTGAAGGGTAGGAAGGTACCATTTGCCTTTGGAGGATATGCCTAGAATACAGATTCCCCAACCAATTTACTTGCTAATGCATTTTCTTAAGGCCAGATCCAAAGGCCAATTCCATGAATCTGGATCAGGTTCAGCACCCTTTGTTCCAGGCCACAAGAGGTACTTAATGTGGAGGAGGCCTTGTTGTTCTTTGCCCTGGTGCTGCATGGGAAGTAATTCACTCAATAAAAATGACTTCTTCCTTTGGTTTTTATCCCTGGTCTCCTCTCACCTCTTCCAAAGGAAGTTGGCTCAGACCAGTTAGGGAGAAATAGATCTTTAGGACACAGTCTTAAACAGAAAAGTCACTAGGAATCAGAGGGTGAGAGCAAGGAATTCTGCATCCAGGAGCCCATACTGATGGTGTTTTGCTTTAGTCCAGAAAATGAATGTTATTCATATGGGTTTCCAAAGAAAGTGGGTCAGACACTTGGAGCAAACCCCATGGATTGTGGCCTTGTTCATCTGTGGCACTGCAACAGCCTGGGAAAAGGAACGGCCTTTGCAGCTGCATTCCCTGGAGAGCTGCCTGTCAGCCCTATGCAAACTGCCCCAGGGTTAGTGAAATGGAAGGTGTTCTCCTCCATGGTGCCATGTCTTCAATACGTGGATGATTGGACATGTGCTCTGACCTGTATTGAATGTGGTTCGTGGATGGCAGCTGCGAGTCTTAGGGGTGAAACAGGCTCTTCTTCTAGTTCTAATGAGCTAAAATTGATATTCCTGGATGTGCTCCAGGCTGACAAGAGCAGTTCACTTGAAAGGATGAGCCAGCTTTCCTGTTGGACTCCATGTACCTCTTGCTTGTGTGGCCGGGAAGAAGAATGTGTTGTACTGCAGATGAAACAGGGACAGGCTCCTGCTTGGATTGCTTGATCCTGCTTGAAGTGTAGACTAAACCTCCAAGGCTTTAGCGGGGACTTAGAAGACATGGCAGATATAAACCAAATAAAAAGCAATTGTTCCTTTATCCAGCTCATAACTAAAGTATGAATCTGTCACAGGACTTAGCAGAGGTCAGAACTATAAATATGTGAGGGGAGGGAGAAGAAAAAGGATGAGTCAGATGGGTCATAGTTACTGCTATAAAAAACCCCAAACCCTGTTTATTGGGACAACGCAAATACAGACTCTGTGTTCTCCAGAGGAGTGAAGGTAAATAAGGACAAAGGATGTGCTCAGTTAACTGCCTGCTCCCTTCCCAACTTTAGTCCTGATTAGAGGTAAAGTCCTTTATTTCTGATTTTGGGTTGTTTTCTCATCAGCCTTCATTTTAAATGATGATCTGTTCCTTCTTCAAGCAGAAACACTTCACTGACAAGAAACATATTGCCCTATTCATCATATCAAACTCCAGGGACAGTTACTTGAATATGTGTTTGCTGGACACTATAAACCGATGGAGTTTTCTGGTCTTCCAACATAGAAAACATCCCAGACACATTCCTGGAATATGCAGAATTTGGATCCAACATGTGCTCTCTTCTGCCTCGATGGCTACAGACATTTCAGGGCAACAGCCAAATAGTCCTCTCTAGTGCTTTGGAACCTGCAGGAGGTGGCTGATAGCATTCCTCTGCTTGGTTATCCACCACCAGGGTGGGACAGCCTGTGTCGGCCACAGGCATGGTGACATCTGTGATGAAAGGCAATGAATTACTTTACCATCCTAAATTGCTGGCAACTGCTCTCCAAGTTCCTTCCTTTGCCAAGGAAAGCCTATGGCCACCTCTTCATCCCACAGGCCTTTACTACATGGAAACAAAACACCATTGTAGGCTGTCCGGGGCAGTGGTGGAGTCACCATCCCTGGAAGTGTTCACATACCGTGTAGACAAGGTCCTCAGTGCCAAGGGTTAGTGGTGGCCTTGGCACTGCTGGGAATGGTTGGACTTGATGAGCTTGAAGGTCTTTTCCAGCCTGGTTGCTTCTATGGTTCTACAGCAGGGTGATGATGTAGGACCCCTCAGATGCTCCTCACCCAGCGAGCAAATCGAGTTGCTGAATGATCCCATTTTTCCTCTGTCAAGCACAGGGGCAGGAGCTCTGGTTGCAGCAGCCATCTCAGGAATGGCCTGGGGTTATCCAAACACTTGCAGTGCACATGCACAAACACATCAGCTTCGCCAAGCTAAGCTGGCCCCAGCATTTTGCTTGGCCAGGTGTGTTCCCAGCAGATTGCGTTCCACAGATCCACACGTGGCATCTGGCGGGGCAGGGGGAAGGTGAGAGGTGCTGCCCAGGATGGAGCGTGGTGGCCAGGGCAGGCTGGACCTCACTGAGTTCCCTGCAATGGCCTTTTCCTTCTTTTCTATTTTTCCTTTCCCCTCTTGAACCAGGATAGGAAAATCTCGATCTATGCATGAAATCACTTGGTTTGTGTGGATGTGTGTGCATACGTGATGAGAAGGAATGGAAATGCACGACAAACACAGCCTCCTCTTCCTTTCCAAGTCTGTAACCTCCAGTTTCTAGTGATTCTGGCTGAGAAGTTGTGTTTGGATGCTTAACTGGACCAAATGTGTTGGATAGACCAGCCCGAGCTTTCGTGCCAATGCAAATGAGAGCAACTGCTCTGAAACCCATCGTGTTGCACCAGAACAGGGGAACGAGGCCACTTCCAGTAGGTGTATTTTGGATCAGACATCTGATGTTTCTCAGCATCCCATGGGTTTGGATGAAGGGGTTGGGTTCAGAAGGAGGTCTGCTGACAAGTGCCCTCCCTCACACTGACCGAAGCACATCTGAAAACGTGGCTAGAAAAATCTGCTGTGTATTTTGGAGCATCGTATGGGCTGTGTCAGTATCTATTGCGTCAAGAGACATAGAAGAGATTATGTTATCTCCTTCCAAGAATGCCAGAGGGGGGTTTTTCGTAAGGGACTGTAGTGACAGGAGAAGTGTGATGGGTTCAAACTGAAACAGGGGAAGTTCAGGTTGGAGATAAGGCAGAAGCTCTTCCCTGTGAGGGTGCTGAGGCGCTGGCACAGGGTGCCCAGAGAAGCTGTGGCTGCCCCATCCCTGGCAGTGTTCAAGGCCAGGTTGGACACAGGGGCTTGGAGCAACCTGCTCTAGTGGAAGGTGTCCCTGCCCGGGGCAGGGGTTGGAGCTGCATGAGCTTTAAGGTCCCTTCAACCCAAACCATTCTATAATTCTATCTTAAACCAAGGAGTTGTGAGTAAACCAAGTGCTTTGAGTAAACCCTGCTGCTACCCACAGTTTCCTTGCCAAAGAGCGGTGGTCTGATGCAGATGGATGCTTTACCAGACACTCACCAGCTCTTCTACCCAGCCTGAGCTCCCCTGAGCATCACCCTAATGTCACAGCCTGACCACAGTTGTGCTGTGTCTGATGAACAGGGCAGCAGATGCACCCACCACGCTCCTTTCAAATGTCATTTCATGCCTCCACGTGTGCTTTGTGCTTCTCTGCATGTTAATAGAGACTCAGCGTCCATTCCTGAAGCACCACAACTCTTTAGCACTGTAGGGCAGGGGCAGAGCTCTGCACCCATCATTGCTCTGGGCTGGGATACAAAGGCCTGACCCAGCCCTGGTGTCTTCCATAGCCAGAGGCACATGCTCTTCATTAATGGCCACATTGCATGACTGGGGCTTCAGAGAGGGAAATAAAAACAGTGAGCTCATCAGAGGGGAAAAACACGAGCGAGAGGAATTGTTGTAAATATTTATCTCTTTAGGGCCTCGAATGGGATTATCATTTTGCCTTTCTGCATCTGAGCAGCCACGTTGGTATTGTTTAGGACTGTGATGTTTGGGGCTGAAGGGTAACTTTTAAGCCTACCCATGTGTAGCCCATGCCCAGGAAGCCTTTACCCCTAATACCCACTCCTGAGAGGAGCTGAGGACACTCAGTGCCATCTCCACAGGCGCTCAGCACCCTGACAGCATCTGCCTCGTGGCCCGGTGTGTAGAGAAAGAGCTGCTCATCCAGATGCACTTAAAACTCCTGGAGAACATCTGCCCCTGGGGCAATCACACTGATGTTTGGGCTGGGTTCAGTCTGTTGACTGCAGTGGCTGTGCATTGGGGTGCATTTTGTGCAAGGGAGGGACATTTGACGTGCCTGTATGTGACTGCTTTCCCTTTGGAAGGCTCTCTGTTGCTCTTGGAGTGGAGGGCTGTGGAAATAGCCAGCTGCCTGCTGAGCCCTCGATGCAAACTTTTTGCATGAAATAATAGCCTCACACCCACATAAACTTCAATTGTTTCTATGGAGAATGTCCTGGACCAGTGTTAAACCTCACCCTGCTTGCTTTAGTCAAACCTCTGCCACAGCCTGAAATCTGCACATATAGATATGGGTATTTTTTCAGCTTATGAGAGCCAACTGCATTAGCCTGATAATGTGAAAAGCGTTCTCCAGGAGAGCATGAGGGGACACAGAGGCTGGGGGGTTATTGCTGCTTTGCAATGTCTCCAGGGCATTTCACTTCATCTTGATTTCACTTGCCAGCCTTTGTTCAGGCTGAGTTATTTGAGGCAGGGTTTGTGCAGCAGCCGCAAGAAGGAGACACTGATTTCATGTGGGTGTTGGGGGGAGCAGTGACTGCTGAGTCCAGCTCCTGCTGGGATTAGGAGGCTGGAGAATCAAGGATATGTGACTGAATTTGCTGTTAGCCCACTCAGGGCAGGGGTCACCTAATGAGCACTGTGAGTCTGGAGCTGTAGCTGGGAGATGTTTATTGCAGAGCTTTGGGGTGCCTCAGTTTCCCCTCTTGCTCTCGGCGCCTGACACCAGCAGCACCCACAGCCCCGTGGCTGGGCTCAGAGATGCTCACAGTGGTGGATCCTGGTGCTGTCTCTTTGGGGTTGCTTTAAGTGACATTTGAATTGTGCTAAAGAAAAAAGGAATAATTTACTGTTCTCTTTCTCTTTGATCCTTCTAGATCATCAAAGAGCCCCCCCCTCCTCCTGCAGAAGACAGCGAGGTGAGTACCACCAACAACCCAACTTCCTCAGTGTTTAGGACGAGGTTTTGCTCAGTCTCCTCACGAGAGGTTGTGATTCTGCTGCAGGGCAGAGTATGGACCTTTTAAACCTCAGTGCTCAGCTCTGTAGCCTCAAAGTCAATAGTGGTTTAGCTAAACTAGAGCCTTTGCATCTGATGTCTGCAATATGTGCTTCACTCTGCTCACTTTGCTTGCTGCAGAGGTAGAGATGTGGTGTTTGGTTAGGAGTCACTGTAGGTGTAAGAATACAAGCACCTCTGCTGAGCAGACAACACTTCCATTTGGATACTACAGAGTCAGGCTGTGATTCACATAAAGGACAACCCTTAAGTGTGCGTTGAACTTTGAAGTTAAAGGAACCTAAACATGTGTTCACTGTCTGTCTGGGAAGGCACAGGAATGATTTTGATGGTTTAGCATCTAAAACAACTCTTGGCAGCAGAGTGGAAACTCACAGTGCTGATCCCTTGGACCACAGTTGCTGTGAGTAAAGGCAGCCCCATGGTCTTTGCAATGTGTCTGAAGACAACGAGCAGATGTAAAACCATCCTGGCCTCAGAAAAGCTGCAGAGAGGGAGGTTTTAACGGAGAGAAGCAGTGAAGCAACATTAAAACCTTCATCTTAATTCTGCTTATGCTTTTAAGGTGAATCTAGCAAGAAATGGCTTAGAGCTATGTCACCACTGCTCATGTCTGATGTAGTCTCTGCCCAGAAACATGCTTTTTCACCCGCCTCTTTCTGTGTCCTCCTGCTTTAGCGCACGATGAGTCTCCTCTTCACTTCCACTGTTTTGCACATGGGATTTCATTGCAGGTCCCTGGGCTGTGTTCAGGATGCACTGATGTCAGAGGGAGCTTTTCCATTGACTTCACTGGGCTTTGGATCAGTTCCTCTTAACTATGCAAGTAAAAGAAGGCTTAGACCTATGCTCAGAGGGATTTGGTTGGTTCCCTTGCTTTTTGCATCTGGAGGCAAATTCATTGCCTGCTTCAGCTTGCAAGTGGAAAAGCTGGAATGATCCTCAACGTCTGGCCTCAGAGTCTGTGTCAAGGCAGACAGACACCCTCAAAGCTCAGTCCTCTGCAATGCACAGAGGTGGAATCCAACCCAGCAGTGCTAGAACCTCTGTCTTGGTGGCACTCATCCCCTTCAGACCAGGCCTGAAGGAAACCTCCAAATCTGAGCACTCCTGGACCTGAGGGAGATTTGCATTTGGATCCAGTGCTCCCTATGCCTCTTTTCTGGCCCGTTTGGGCTGTATCTAAATCCACCAGCTTTGTTAGCTCCTATCCTCTGAATGAAAAGGAAAACACGAACCCAGATGCACATGCTCTGTTGTGCATCACACATGCCTCCAAGCCAAGGGATTCAAGTGCTGAAACTAATTAAAATGCATCCTTCTGGAATGCTGGCTCGCTGGCCAAGGGCTGGAAGGGGAAATTACAGCTCTATGCTAAGAGGGCAGGCGTGCTTTAAGTAGAAGGAAGCCTTTTATCAAACCAGTAAGTGCTGCAAAAGCAAACCAGTTGCAGCACATCGGTGATTATTGCCTCAGGTTACATTTAATTAAGCTGGTGTGAAGATATTTCTGGACATGTTCTATTTTCTCTTAGCCCTGGTCCTGGCTGAGGGAACAGTGTGCAGCTCCTCAGATGACTTAGTCCTCAAGTCATCTGCTCCACAGCTTTCCCTTAGCAATGGATTTGCCCCTGGTTTTTGTTTGGGACTCACCTGGTCTTGTGTTGTGGAGAATGTGGGGCAGATCCTCTTTGTTTCAAAGCAGGATGTAGTTCTGCATTGTAAGGACGAGCCTGATGGTAGAATTTCGCATGTTCTTTCTACCAGAGCACATCCTCTCAGCTCAATAAAACCATAGAATGGGTTGGGTTGGAAAGGACCTTGAAATTGTCCAGTTCCAACCCCCCTGCCATGGGCAAGGACATCACAAACTAAACCATGTCACCCAAGACTCCAGGGGCTGCTCAGCCTGGAGAAGAGAAGCTGCTGGAGACCTCAGAGCAGCTTCCAGTGTCTGAAGGGGGCTACAAGGATGCTGGAGAGGGAGTCTGTATCAAGGACTGGAGCAATAGGACAAGGGGTGATGGGTTCAAACTGAAACAGGGGCAGTTCGGGTTAGATCTAAGGCAGAAGCTCTTCCCTGTGAGGGTGCTGAGGCGCTGGCACAGGGTGCCCAGAGAAGCTGTGGCTGCCCCATCCCTGGCAGTGTTTAAGGCCAGGTTGGACACAGGGGCTTGGATGAACCTGCTCTAGTGGAAGGTGTCCCTGCCCGTGGCAGAGGGTTGATATTGGATGAGCTTTAAGGTCCTTTCCTACCCAAACCATTCTATGATCTCCAGCATTAGGAGTGCTGATCCCTTCAGCAGCAGCATGACGCTTACAGTAAGATCATTTGTCTTTTCTACTTCTCCCAAAAATCTTGGCAAACAAAGAAAGACAAGAGGAATTCTTGCCTCAGCAGATCTGGGAGCTGAGGCCCATATGTCTTTGCACTGCAAGGAGAATACATTACACTGGAGCAACGCAGGGAAAGGAGTGTTGCTGTCAAAGCTGCCAGAGGTCTTCTTGAGCTCTGCTTTATAGGCTTTTTGAGACATCCTGGAGACACGCTCGCTGTTGGTAAAGGAAACCATTATTGGAAGGAAACTTCCAAGGGGTTCATTCAGGAATTGTGACTGTTGTGAACTCCTCTCAGTGCAGGATGCTGGGGAGGGAAGCCCAGCTGGTTTCACTTACAGCCAGGAGGGATTGAGTTAATGCCAGTCAGAAGAGGTGGACGCCTGCAAGAGCCAGCAAGCACCTTTCCAGCCTGTGATCAGTCATTGATGGTGGGTCAAACCCACCTTCCTCCACTCCCAGGGAACAGGAAGGCCTTTGCCAGCCCTGTTGGAGGAAGACACGGTTGCTTTTATTCATGTATCCCTTCATTTTCACTGGGCTTATTGGGACATGTCCTCCTCAGCTCCAGCCAGAGGCAGGAGATGTATGAAGTGACCAGACCCTCATCACTCAGACTTGTTTTTAACCTGCTGCTCTGTCACCCAAGCTCCAGAGTCACCCTTAACATGACCCTAGAGCCAAGCCACCAACCAGCCTGAAACTGGATAATTCTTATGTCTGTTGGCATCTTACCCACGTGCACCAAAGCAAACACACACGCAGGAAAGTCGTGGAGAGAAAGCACCGTTCACAGCAGAGACATGAGGTGCTGAAGGTAATTGCTACTGTCATGGGAGGCAGCATGAACAGGAAGAGTTTAACTCACTGCAGAGCAGCTGTTAAGCCAATACATGAAACCACCTATCATAGAACCACAGCCTGGTTTGGGTTGAAGGGACCTTAAAGCTCATCCAGCTCCAACCCCTGCCACGGGCAGGGACACCTTCCACTGGAGCAGGTTGCTCCAAGCCCCTGTGTCCAACCTGGCCTTGAACACTGCCAGGGATGGGGCAGCCACAGCTTCTCTGGGCACCCTGTGCCAGCGCCTCAGCACCCTCACAGGGAAGAGCTTCTGCCTCAGAGCTCATCTCAAGCTCCCCTCTGGCAGGTTCAAGCCATTCCCCTGGTCCTGTCCCTACATCCCTTGTCCAAAGCCCCTCTCCAGGTTTCCTGGAGCCCCTTTAGGCCCTGGAGCAGCTCTAAGGTGTCCCCTTGAGGAGCCTTCTCTTCTGTGAGGACAACCCACATGTTCAGCTTGAGTCACTTTGGTCTTTGTGAACTAATCTCTGAGCGTTCATGAGGCCAGAGAAGGCTAAAAGGGGTTTATCTGCTTGGCTGCTGCTTGCACCCTCACTTCTTGGTGTTTATTAATCTTTTCCCAGTTGTTTTCCTCTCCTTTCCTGAAAAGCCTTGCTGGGGAGACAGCAAAATAAGCTCCAGAGAAAAGGATCTGTCAGGAATGTTTTGTAGACACCAAGGCAGGAAATACACTCTGTTATTCCTGAAATGAAGCCAGGTCACAGTGATGTGCCAGCTCCCTCCCTCCCCTTTGCTCCCCTTTTACAGGGACTTGTGGAAGTACGGGTGGAGGAGAAAAGAACCTTTCAAGACATTTGAAAGCTCAGGGGTGCTATTGGCAACACATGAGGTGGAGGCACCATGAAGGTGTGGAGTTTATGGCCAGATTTCACATGCAATATCTAGGCAGCCCCAGCACAGCAAACTGTTGGTGTAGAGCTGTGAAAGTTGGGGTTGATCACATCAGAGTTGCAGTGGGAGCACCAGGGTTAATTCCCTCGACCTTATGAGACCTTATTTCATCTTCCTGTCCGGGCTATCAAGTGGCAATAGCTCAACCTCCTTTCTTCTGCATCAGAACAGGGTTCTCTCTTTAAGGTCCCTTCCAGCACAAACTATTGTGGGATTCTATGAAATGAGGACTTTCTGTGGTCATTAAGACCAACAAAGATGGGGTTTGAAGCATTTGCATCTCAAGAATAAGACTCATATGTGGGGTTTTGGTGCCTTATGAGAGCTGAGGTTTTTCTTCAGCCTGCTTCTTAGTAGAGCACCAGCAGAACATGCTCGTGTGACCTGGCAGTGCTTTCTGCTGGTAGTTTGGAGGCTTGGGCCAGTGACGGGCAGAGATATGAGAAACCCAAAGCGATGAGTTGCTGCAGTTGTGATTTACAGTCACAGAGAGCAACAAGGGAAACCTTCCACAGCAGAGAGGACGTTCTGGAGAACCAAGCAAGGTGTCTTTAAAGGGTAACACCACCTCTGCATCTGAGAGGTGGCCGTGAGGTTTAGAACTGAACCTGGTGTTGGGAGAACAAGGAGGCAGAGAGGAGCCAGAAGCCTCGAGAGCAGCGTATTCACCTCCCTGTTTCCTCCACTGTGAAGTTAGATGGTAACCTCTCTTACTCAGAGGAGTGACTGTCCTGTTGGTCCAAGCTCTCTGGAAGTGCTAAACCCTGACAGCATTCAGGCACCACAGAGGCAACTGTGAAAACAATCAGAAGGGTGGGGAGAGGGGTACGTTGTCCAAGCTTTTTATTTGAATATCTGGCCAGATTCAGTTTGAGTCTTACCCGGAGTGGTTCAGATCTCCCCAGTGGAGCCTGAATTATCCTTGTGTTACCCACAGATGAGGTTCCCTCAGGTCAGGGTCAAAGTATACAGCGTGGAGATAAACAGAGGTCTTTGTTTTCTGCACCCAGCAGCTCTAGAGCTGCAGCTCTGCCTGGGAAATGTGGCTCTGTTCTGCTTCTTGAAAAGAAACTCTAGCTCCATCTAAAGCAGATTTTGGGGGTGGAGAGATGCCAAGTTCTGTACAGTCACTTTCCAGCATCCTTAAATGCACTTGAATTTTCCGGGGCTAATTTTTATACTGCTGCTGGGTCAGAGCTGAGGATCCTTTTGCAGTTCTCCCTCAGGCAAAAACCCCATTGCAGTGAAGTGTAGAGAAACAGGGGCAAAACTGACCCAGGATGTGAGAATTCAGCCCTGGTTTATTGGCTCAGCCCTTGGGGATGGGGCAGGGAGCTGGGATGCTGGACACAGGGGATGTTTGCCACTTCCTTAACCCGACACAGAGGGGACATTGGGGTGAACTCTGAGGCAGAAGCTCTTCCCTGTGAGGGTGCTGAGGCGCTGGCACAGGGTGCCCAGAGAAGCTGTGGCTGCCCCATCCCTGGCAGTGTTCAAGGCCAGGTTGGACACAGGGGCTTGGAGCAACCTGCTCTAGTGGAAGGTGTCCCTGCCCGTGGCAGGGGTTGGAGCTGGAGGAGCTTTAAGGTCCCTTCCAACCCAAACCATCCCGTGATCCTTCACGTTTTCCTGCTGCCGGTCTACCCCTGACCCCCGTGTTCCCAGCGTCTACCCTTTAGCTGCTCACGTGTGCTGCGAGTGCCTTTGCCAAGCGTGTAGGACATCTCTGGTGGGGTTTTCTTCCTTTTTGCTCGTATTGCAAAACCTCCCATGCCCTTCAAAGCACGTAAACAGGCTCCTCCTGAAGGAAGCTTGTGACTCCTTTGTTTTTCATGTGTCCAGTGCTGCCTTTCTGTGCGTGTGCTCTTTCGGTTGTTGTTCTGGCAGGAGGCTCCTATCTCACATTCAAGTGACTTGCACAGGGCTTTTAAGGGCTTGTGGGGAAGATTTCCTAAACCTTGGTATTTCCTGTTGTGAGAAGTCCAGTCTGTGCTAAACTGCACAGAGAGAAGGAGAACTGCTGAAGGAAAATATTTAGATGGCTTTGATTCCAACTTTGTAAAGAAGTCCTCATGGAAAACTTCATGCAGAGATATTAAGTTCTTGGGTTGCAGCAAAGGAGCCTCAGCAGCTCTAACGAGAGCGAGAGAAAGGGCTCAGCTGGGAGGGAGAAGAACCTGGTGTTTATGGCTCAATGGTTCACTCGTCCTTTAGAGCAGGACACGTTTTGCACTGAACTGATGTGCATTTTGCAAAACAGAAATGCTTTTGTTTGCCGTGAAAAACAGAGTTTGTCTTGGGTCTTCCCCCCCCTATTTTCCAGTTTTCCTTCCATTCCCAAATATTTTTGGCTTTTCAAATTTTGGAAAGCTCCGAAGTTCTGGAGTTTTGCCAAATCCCTGTGAAAAATTAAAGAAAGGAAAAGAAAAAGGGCCATTTTTCATTTCTCTCCCCATTTTCACAGGAAATACTTCACGTTTCTGATGAACTCTGCTTTTCTGCTTTGCCAGTTCATGGCCTCAGCTGCAGGAATTAAAGGGAAAGGCACTCTGTAGGTCAGGGCATATGTGGAGCTGTTCTATAGTGCAACAAAGAGTGTAGAATAGATAGAATCCACTCACTAGAGCTTTAGGTAGGCTCCTTAAGGAGATGTTCTTCATCTGTTCCTTTGGCTGTGTGTGAATGTCATCATGACGGTCCTGAGCGCGTTGAACTCTGGGTATGGTGATAGGTTTCTGCCTGCACTATGTAGGGGTAAAGCACATTCAAACCTGTGCACAATTTACATCACATTTGTGCTCGACTTTCTGCTGCCATAAGCCATGACCCCCCCTGAAGCCACATGGGTTTCCATGGGCAGCGTCTTTAGCAGAAGCAGAAGTTCCTTCTAAGAGCTCATTCCATGCTTGTAACTCTTCCATTAGACGTTTCCATCCTATTCCACTTGTCCAGCTCATCCCAAAACCCCTCATCTCCGTGCTGGACCTCCACAGTGGGGTTGTTTCCAAGCATACTCCTAATTTGCCTTCACTTGGGAGGAAGTTTGCCCTGATTCCTTGCTTTTCCCCCTCCTTCTGTCAAATCTAAATGACCACAGGATGGTTTTTCTGGGCCCTGGAGGTTCCTCCACATAGGGAGCTATGGGGCAGGGCAGAAGCTCTTCTCTCCCCAGCCATAGACACAAGCAAAGGGATGGCAACGAGGAGGCAAGTCCCTACTACATCAGCCAACTTGCAGCCCAAAGACCCCAGCTTTTGAGCTCTGCTGAGTGTGGGTTTGGTGGCTGCTTCAATGGGTTTGCAACTTGGAGACAATTTACTCCCCTGAATTAAAAGATGATGAAAGCCAGAGTCTCCTTAAGAAACACAAAACAAAAAGGGGTGTGTGTGGGTGTGTGTGTGCAAGAATCACACTGGGGCTGGGGCTGGGCCTGGGCTGGACCTTTCAAGTGGTGGGTGTTTGTGTCATGAAACATTTTGTCTTCATGAGTGTACATCCTCTAGAGAATAACCAATGGAGACCAGAACCTTGACTGGCCTGGCTCTAGCAGGCTCAGAGGACCACATAGCCTCTACCTGTTTACTCCTTTCCATCCCTAGTCATGCTTAGCAACGGTGTAATCCCTTCCTTCTGTTTTGTAGGAAGAAGATGACGATGGCCTTCCAAAAAAGAAATGGCCAACGGTAGATGCCTCTTATTATGGTGGACGAGGAGTTGGTGGCATCAAACGAATGGAGGTAATGAGATAGCAGTTCATGTATTCAGAGACCTTACTGGTGAGCTGAGCTGTGGTATCTCCCTGCAACTACCCAGAAAGAAACTCAGGAGATAGATAGGTACAAACTTCTTTAAGCTTTTCTTTGTGCATCTGAGCCCAGGTTATTTTTCATAGAGGGATATTTAAAAGCCAAGTGTAGATTCCTCAAGTTTGGGACCATCTTTTTTTCTCTAGTACAGAAAGATTCTGCTTCACAGCATCGCTCTTCACCTTCCATTTGGACACTGGGAAACTATGGGTAAGGGATGTAACTCTGCAGCAGCCACTCTTGTAACATGCCCTGATGCACCTTTTCAGGTGCGCTGGGGAGAAAAGGGCTCCACAGAAGAAGGTGCTAAGTTAGAGAAAGCCAAGAACGCCCGGGTGAAGATGCCAGAGCAGGAATACGAGTTCCCTGAACCCAGGAACCTGGCGAACAACATGCGGAGGCCTTCGTCTCCTCGGAAGTGGTACTCCCCAATCAAGGTAAGCCCAGCCTTGTACATCACAGTCCTGTGCAGTACAAAGTCTTAAGTGTTTTAAGGCTAAGATGCTGGTTAGGGTCTGAGAAACCCTCTGCAGGCAATTTATCTGCGAGTAGCCTGCAAAGAGGGTGTAACACACGTAGTAAACGTTTTGGTGTGTAGAGCTCACCTTTAACTTTATGCTGGGGAGTGAGAAGGTGCCTCACTGCTGGAAAAGAGAGGGTTTGTCCTCCTGTGTTCTTCCTCCCCAGCAGCAGCCCCTCTGGTCACACACATTCTGTTAGCCAGGTTACTGCAGAGCAGAGAGGCTACCCTGCAGTACACCCAGGTTTCCCTGTGTTGTATCTGGTTACTGATCAGCTCCAAGCAGTGTCCATAGGAATTTGGGTAAGTCAAGTCACATGTTTTGGCTCTCCTCAGTCATTGATCTTGCAGCTGGTCCAAATCCAGCAATGGGAATGGCAAGGATGCACAGGGGAGGAAGAGTGGTTTCCGGAGGATACGGAAATGTGAGCCTCTGAGAACCTGGTCCAGGGCCTTCTCTCTTCTCCCCCTTCAAGATTATCATCTAATAAACAGAGCTGACCAACAAGTCATAACCAACAAGTTGTGTTATAATGACTTCAACATGTGTTCACGGAGGCTATTCATTCCCACGGTGGGATAGGTTAGAGAGTCAGTGTTTGCAGTTCGGAGCGGGAACGCACTAAGCACCATCCCATATAGCTGCTCCCTTGTTCCTAAAGGCAGCTTCTTCCCGTTTTGCATCGGTGTGAAGCATTTGTAACACACACTTGTCCCATCTGGGAGATTTTCACTCCTACTCTGTGCTCATGGAAATGACCTCATGGAGCTGAGAGACACAGCTCAGTGCTTGTTGCGTGCCACAGTCAGACGGGCTCACAGCACACAAAGCTACACCTCAGCCACCAAGGAGCTGCCAGAAACACTGATTTTGGCACAAAGAGCCCTGCTCAGGCAGCTGCAATCCACATGGGTGCAACTACCTGAGATCGTTAGCTAAGGGTTGGCTCCTTTCCCATAGAAGATAGTGCTGAGTTTCTCCCCTCTTCCTGCACCAGTTCATGCTGTTGGATTGCAGCCTCAGGAGAGTTCGTTTGCAGGGTTTATTCTGCATGGTAGGAAATCAGCTCTGAACAGAGGAGAGAAGTTTGTTGCAGATCTGTCTCCCATCTGGAAATTCCCTGACATTCAAGAGAGGCTTGGAGAAAAGATTCAATGCGTGTAGGGTTCAAGTTCAATTCTGCCTCTGCCTGGGAATGGCTTTGGCTTTGTAACACCAAGAATTCAGTTATAAGGGGGCCTACAAATATCAGGAGTATCTGATGGGTGATATTCCCAATTCCTTTAAAAGTATCTCTTATCTACCATTCAGATTGCATGGAATCCCAATCCAAGAGTCCATATCCAAACACTCCAGCAACTCTGCAGTGTCCCACATCTGGGCAGTATTCAGCAGCCTGAGTCTGGCTGTAGGCAAGAATGTACCTAAATATTAATTGCCACCCTATTGACCTGCACCCAAAAGACAGTGGATGCAGATGGGATAAAGTACCCAACCCTTTCCCCACGCACAGTCATGAGCACTCATCAGCTCCAGAGAGGATCATTCCTACGAAGCAGGGGTCCTGCAGTTCCTCTCAGCGAGGAACTAGCAAAGTCCATCAGTGCTCTTGGCAGAAGCTCTTGTCCTGAAGATGTGATGTGAGCTCATGGAGAGGAACTTGCTCTGTGTGGTGCAGGGAAGCTCAGCAGTCACCACGCAGAGGGAGGTGAGGGCCCTGTTGGGTCCCTGGGTCTGCACTCTCAGCCAAGGCAGGACTGGGAGCTCGAATCCATCCTCTGTGTATGGGCTGGAAATAACACAGAGGCTCCCACCTCCTCAGGAGGGAACATTTCACCCTGACCTCACCCATAGGAAATGCCTCCTGATACTCAGATTCTCCCTCATCCCCATGCTCCAAGTGCACTGGTAGAAGCAGATGTTAAATTTCCACCCGCTCCATTGAACTGGTTGAAACATCTCTTTGGAAGGGAGATAAATACACATGTAACAAGCTGCTTAAATAAACCCCTTGGTAAAGGAGGAAGGCAAAGAATTAGCTCTCAGGAGCAGGGAACCAGTGTAGCTTGGACCTGACAAAGAGCCAGGAAATTCACATTTTGGGGCCACTCACCCTGCTGGCCAACAGGCCCCCTTTTCTCCATGCAGCACAAGTACCAGCCTTTACTTAGAGCGTTCTGCCTTTTCCCAGCTTATCTGATGGAGTTTTCCTTCCCTCTCTTTGTTACTCTTCCCAGAGTAACATCCATACTGGAGGTAGAAGCTGAGAATGGGGAGATGGCTGGTTGAAATGCTCCACAGATTCATTTTCTCCCTAGTGTGGTTGTTACTACTGGTACTATTCTGATTTGCTGCTGTTACTTCTTAGCACGGCGTCAACTCGATGATCTTGCTTTAAAAATACCATTTCAACAGTCTGTAAAGTCAGTGCAAACAACCCAAGAATGACAAGTCTTCAGGAACCTGCCAAATCCTCTGTTCATCCTCCAGAGGAAGGGGCAGCACAAAGCATAGATGCAAGGGAAGGATTGTAAAGGAACATGCCTTTGGTTTTAATTTGCTTCATGCCCTGCTCCCTGCTGCAGAACAGCCAGGCAGCTCTGTAAGCTGGGTTAGCAGCTTTCCCCATACCTCTATTTCTACCTGCTTTTATGTACCTGGCTACCCAGCTACTGCTGCTTTCTTCCTCCTCCTCAGAGCACTTATAGTACTTGTTTGGCTTCAAAAGGTGGACTATCAGACTAAAAACCAATGTAGAAAGGACCACAAGCCCAGGCTGAACTCACTGTTCATCCACAAAGCTCACATGCAGGACCTGCCTCAAGGCTGAGGTTGAAGCAACAGCTGATGCTCTCAGATAGAAACCTCAGGTGAATCCTAAGGGGAGGCTACTTAAGCATCGTGTCCCTGGCCCATTATCTAACCTTCTCCCTCCTGTCTGTCTGTACGAAGCTGCCATGCACAGCTTCCTTCCTAGAAGAGGCCCACGAGCAGCTTGGATTCCCAGGCAGCCACTAATTCAGGAAGAGAATGCATTCCTCATGATAAAGCAGTGGCCTCCTTCTTCTGTTATCTGCCCTGATTGTTTCTTCTTTCTGGACTTCATTTCCAGTAGGACCCAAAGCTTTATTTGCCTCCAGACCTTTTTCTCCTCCAAGTGACCAACTGGAAAGGGGCTCCTAAACAGGGACACAGCCCAGGCACCAGAGCACAGGGGTGTTTGTATTTCCAAGTGAATGCATTGCCATTCTCATTGCTTCAGCCAGCATCATCCTTTCCATGATGCACTCTCCCTCTCTTCCACCCAGATGTCCCAGACAGGCCCTGAAGCTCCATTCAGACTCCCAAAGATGGAGCTTTTCCCAAGAAATCTTGGTAGGCTCTTGGAAAATAGGACTGCGGAGTAAAAAAGGACTTTTTTGTTCCATGGAAAGTTGTCATTTTCCCTCTGGTTTCCTAAAGGAGAAATGGAAGAAAAAGGTATTTAGTTCTTAAGTTGTCAGAGGCGACAGGAGATCAAGAGCTTGAACCAGCTCTGATGTAAGGAGAAAGATGGATTGGGATGGACAGGGATGGCTCCCCTCAGGTCTGAGAGGTTGTGCTGTCCAAGAAAAGGCTGACAGAGGAGTTTCTTGCTGCTTCTTTAAAGAATAACACTTTCCTGGCTCTCACGTTGGGAAGTCTTTTCCCCAGTATCCTATGGAAATACATCTCTGCGGTCATTCTGTGTGTCTGCCTGTCTCCACCCATGTATCCCTCCAAATCCCAAACAAGCTTTGAACCATTGGCTCAACACACTGGGGAGAAATACAGGTCTCAAAGAGGATTACACTCCTCATGGTTTCGTGACAAGGGAAGAGAAAAGACTCTGTCCCCATGAGAGTGCACATTGAGTGCATTGAGTCTTTAATTAGATACCAGAGAACCAGGGGCTCAGAAGGACCTTATCAATCCAAATCACCCCTTTGCCACTTTAAAGCCATTCCCCCTTGTCCCATCACTACATGCCCATGATCCGTTTCCTATTGGAATGCAAGAGTTCAGCTCACATTGTTGAACTAAATGATCCATGAAGCATTCAAGTAACTAGATAGAATCATAGAACCACAGAGTGGTTTGTGCTGGAAGGGACCTTAAAGCTCATCCAGCTCCAACCCGTGCCCCGGGCAGGGACACTTCACCCTAGAGCAGGTTGCTCCAAGCCCCTGTGTCCAACCTGGCCTTGAACACTGCCAGGGATGGGGCAGCCCCAGCTTCTCTGGGCACCCTGTGCCAGCGCCTCAGCACCCTCACAGGGAAGAGCTTCTGCCTCAGAGCTCATCTCAAGCTCCCCTCTGGCAGGTTAAAGCCATTCCCCTTGTCCTGTCCCTTGTCCAAAGCCCCTCTCCAGGTTTCCTGGAGCCCCTTTAGGCACTGGAGCTGCTCTGAGGTGTCCCCTTCAGGAGCCTTCTCTTCTCCAGCTGCCTCAGCCCAGCTCTCTCAGCCTGGCTCCAGAGCAGAGCTGCTCCAGCCTCATTCAGCTTGTGAGAACCCGGGTGGTGTGTCAAGGATGGCATCTCAGGAGCAACTGACACTGCTACACAAATCAGATCTAGCTCTAACCCACCCCAGGGGTCACCTGGAGCTCGAGGTGGGGTAGATCAGAAACACAACCTGTAAATTCCCCTGATGCTCTGCACTGATTTAGCCTTTTGTTCACAAAGGCATCTGGAGCTGAGTAGGTGTTAAGAGTTTCTCTCAGCCCAGGAGGTGTCAACTCACCTATTACCTTTGGAGGTTTTCAGAACACATGGAGACACATGGATACTGTTGGCTTTTCCTGCTTATTGCTCCCTTGAAGCCTCTTCCTTTGCACTTGCAGCAAGTTCAGAGCAGGTTCCTGTGAGGGAAAGAATTGACCCCAGCACCTTGTATAAGCACAGGAAATGATTAAGCATCAAACATGTAGGTCTAAAGCCGTGTTGTCCCTGCACTGCACTTTGCCCTTGCACTTGTTCTTGCTCAGAAGATAACAGTGTGTTCCTTTGGATTGCAGGGGAAGCTGGATGCTCTCTGGGTCTTGCTGCGGAAGGGTTACGACCGTGTGTCTGTGATGCGCCCACAGCCAGGAGATAAGGTACCGTGCCTCAAACATCCCTCTTCCAGCTAGGGAAAACACAACTGCTGGAGTTTCTGCCTGCTATGACATGTGGAATGGGAGGCAGGGGCTCCGGGCAGCTTAGAAACGATTGTCAGTGTTGTTTGCAAGTGCAGGTCATGCAGTTTGATGCAGTGTCAAGTGTGAAAACGGCCCAGATTTACCCATCGGCGAGCCCAGGGCAGTCTTAGATAACATAGCTGCTTTCAGGTACTTACATACTCCTAATGAAGAGCAGGCAATATTTCTGCATGTTTTTACTGATTAATCTCTTACATTCTGAAATAAAACTCGACATACATGAATGCTACATAAATGGAAACTTTCTGGGCACTTCCACAAAGCAAAGTTTGCAGAATGAGGTTTGTTGTGTGACAGGGGGGAAGTATTCCCACCTATTGCTGCTAAAAACTGGCTTCATGCAAATCTCTGTCCATTCATGTAAATCTCTATCCATTCATGTGTGCTAATTATGGGTGGAAACAGAAGCCATTGATGAGAACAGACTAATGCCACCTTACAGGAATGATGCTGTCTATGACAGCAGGACACTAGAGGGCTACAGCTCATCTCCTGGGTATGAATCTCCTCCTTTTCAGAGGCATTAAACATTAGGGTGCTTCCTAATCAATATCAGGACAGTTAGTGCCAGCTCTGCAGACACCCAGCTGAGCACTGACGTGGCCAACACACACTCGTGTCTTGTGTGCAGCTCTGAGCACCAACAGACACACAGGGACTACGTGTTCAAGGCACAGTCCCTATCCCTCTGGTAGTCATAAGACATCACCTAACTCCCTGCAGTTTAGATGGCTACACCCAGTATCCCAGAGCTGTTCCCAATCCCCAGCTTTTAATATTGTATTTATTATTTAATATTACTATTGCCTCAGAGGGGAGATTTGCTAAAATGTCTTTGCTGAGTGTGAGAGTGATGTCTGGGAGAGAAGCTCATGGCACAGATTGCTGCTGTCTGGCAACTCCCCCAAGGAATCCGTGCTTGAAGAATGCCTGTTCTGTCAATAACTGGTTTGACTTGACAAGATGAGATTATTCATGTGAAAGATGCTACTTCCCCTTATGCTGAGGAAAACTCAGAGCAGTTCAAGTGAAGCTGATAGAGTGAACAGCGATTTCATACTGTATTACGCCAGGTTGGACACAGGGGCTTGGAGCAACCTGCTCTAGTGGAAGGTGTCCCTGCCCATGGCAGGAGGTTGGAATTGAAGGAGCTTTAAGGTCCCTTCCAGCCCAAACCATTCCATGATTCTATGATTAGAGCCACAGACAGCAGGCTCCATTTCTTAGTGGGATGGAGAACATCCAACTAAGAACCCCTTCAACATGTGGTTCTGTGTCCTGCAGCATAAGCAATGGTAGAATTAGCCTCTGTAGGTGTTATATGACCCAGCCCCAGGGTAAATCAATCTCTTTATGATCTTCTTGTGCTATAAAGGATCTCTGACGTGGGCGCAAGCACCATTCCATGTGAAAGAGAAGCTGGCTGCAAGTGCACCCAGGTTTATAGCTGCTACAATCCCTCTTTCCGTCCAGCCAGCTCCTTGCAGCTTCCAAATGCTGGGGCACCCTCCTGCGTAGATAGGAAGTGCTGCTCAGAGTTACTATGAGGGCAGGCTGCTCTTACAACATGGGTTTGCCTTCGCCTAAACAAACCTCTGAGCCCGAGTGTTTGTCTTTGACTGACCACGTGTGACCCTCTCGCTGGTTTAAATCACTCCCAGGCTTGAAGTGAGCAGTTGATGTTCATTCCTTTCCAGCAGTGGCAGAACTACCAGGTGATGTCACCCCAACAGCAGAGGCAAAACCAATATGAGCAAAGCATGAACACGACTTTCATGAGTTTACACAGCTGAAGGGGCAGGATTAGGCAGGGTTTTCCCCTCCCCTCTTCAGCAAAAATGAGGGGGGTTTGTTTCCCTACTCCAGACCTAAAGAAGAACCTGGCTGGGTTCAGCTTTGCTATTTCTGAGCCATCATCTCCCATCTTGCTGTAGACATTCCCCACGATTTGGGTGCTAGATTTAGCCTGGCCAACCTCACTTTCTCCTTTGCAGACACAAAGGGCTTTTACTGGAGCTGGGCACGAGGCAGGTTGGCTCTGTGACATTTAGAGCTTCTGTGCCTCTGAAGGGAAGGGATGAGGCAATATTGCTCTTAATAGAACTACCACAAGCTACAGCTGTGCCTTGGGAGCCCAATCAGACAAAAAGCAAAGCAGAAAGTTGCAAGAAAGAGTTGTAAAATTTGCACCTCACAAAATATAGAGAGACTCCAAGTCCTGTTTGATCCCTGATCCCTGCCAGGCTCCCTCCATCCTTCTCTGTGCCACTGTTCTTCAAAGAGGATTGTAAATGCATGTCCAAACCTTAGGCTACAAAGGCTGCATGATTCAGGCTCCTTCAAGGCTGGTGGCTTCTCCCAGCTCAGCAAACATCAAATATGATCTGATAAAACACACATCAGTGCTTTGGTGGGAGTGGAAATCCAGTGGGGAGGTCGGTGTTGAACTGATGGGGATGGCAGCGTGGACACATCTGCCAGTGCTGGCTGCGGGTCAGCGCCTGCCGCAGGAAGGCTGAGGCAGGGTGGACCATTTCCTTCCCTTGCAAGGAAGAATACCAAGGAAAAGGAGCAATTCCATAGGAAATCTTCTCCAGAAGGAACCCTGGGTCTGTAGGACACTTGTGAGTCCTTCCCTGTGAGGGTGCTGAGGTGCTGGCACAGGGTGCCCAGAGGAGCTGTGGCTGCCCCATCCCTGGCAGTGTTCAAGGCCAGGTTGGACACAGGGGCTTGGAGCAACCTGCTCTAGTGGAAGGTGTCCCTGCCCGGGGCAGGGGTTGGAGCTGGATGAGCTTTAAGGTCCCTTCCAACCCAAACCAGGCTGGGATTCTAGGGCTACCACCAAACATTTGCTATGTCTGACACCTAGTGTGAGGAAGGTGTCTGTGCTCCGAGATATGGCACAGCACCTCCTTGACCTGGCACGCAGAATGAGGCCATCTGGCCTGGATTTACTTGTTCCTAGTGGAGGAGATGCTGAAGGACAGCAGTGCAGAGGACATTCACACCCAGGCAGCCCTGCACATTCACACACAGCCACTGAGATGCTCCCCAGCCATGTGCTCCTGGTGTAGGCTTTGCCAGCAGGATAGAGCTGTTTCGGCAGTGGTGAGCTCAGCTATAAATTCCTGTGGCTTCTCCATGTGATTCCTAATAGCTGCTTTGGACCAGGACACAGCAGGGACAGGCTTGATCCTCCCCAGGTTGCAAAATCTTCAGTGGCAGTGCTGCAGGCTTTCATAGCTGCCCATCGGCAACTTTGAGTTTGATCCTGTTCTCTTGGGAAGCAAAGGTAAAGGAGTGCTCTGCCCAGCTTGGCAGCAAAGGGGCCCATCAGAGCTGCTATGGACAACCCCAAGCCAGTGATGTGGCTTTAAAGTGGAGGCCCAGGTGGTCAGTTCTTCAGCCCCGATGCACTGGGGGATGGAGGCAGTGGAGGGTGCCCCTCTCCCTGGCAGCCACCCCGAGGAGGTTCAGACCAAGCAGCTCAGTCTCAATACCACCGTGTGTAGCCTTCACAACACAAGCTGAACAAACACTCCAGAGTTACTCAGCAGCACACTATCATGCCCACACTACACACAGACTGCCAGCTGGAGCACTCCTGAAGCATGGATGTGCCCTGGGAATGAGAGAAGCAGGGACCAGCAGAGCATCTTACGGGAACCAGCAGGCTCTAAAGGAGCCATCTGCTTATGGACCCACCACATGGTGCATTCTCAGGCTGGATCAAATGTTCAGACCCTAGAATTTACAGACAGGGGGCTTTGACCATAAGATATTCTTAAAAGCTACAAGGAGGAGCTGTTTCAGAAGCAATTTTTACCTCCTTCCTTCTCTTCCCTGAAGGAAAGAAGGAAGCATGTTTCAGACTCTTGATGGTGTCGAATGGGCACCTTGATTCACTCACTGGTCAACATACACAAGTGAAGCCAGAGGAACAATCACTAAAAGGCATCTCTGTTTGCTTTGGAGCCTGCAAAGGAGTTGGCCTTAGTCCCAGGGTTACATCATTTTCATATATAAGCAATCCCTTGCTATAATCAGTTACTTTATCCCCTGCCAGCACATGAGCTGAGCTGTTCAGAAAGATCACTTGGAGCATGGATCCAGCTTGACTAATTGTTGTTGTTTATCTGCTGGAGCCCACGCAGCCTCCCAGGTACCATCCACGTTGTCAAGAAAGACGTCCTGAAGTCCACTTTAGGCTGTAACAGGACATTGGTGCAAGGGCAGTGACTGCTATGTTTGCAATTTATACACATTGCAGTGGCTAATGTGGGTATTGAAGCTTAGATCCCAGTCCTGTTCTTCTGCGTGACCTCAATCTCTTTGCCTCTTGTCTGCTCTTGCCCTGAAACCTCTAATCAAGGTTGAGGGGCTTGGAGCAACCTGCTCTAGTGGAAGGTGTCCCTGCCCATGGCAGGGGTTGGGACTGGGTGAGCTTTAAGGTCCCTTTAACCCAAACCAGTCTGGGTTTCTATGATTCCTTACTTTAGGTAAGCTACATCTTTACACACGCTTTTGTTCTACTTCTTCATCTTTATACCCACCTATACCTGTATTTCCCCAGACAAACCCAAAATGAAAATCCAATTATTGCAATGCAGTAACAATGACAACATCATTTGCTCCCAGATTGAGAGCTCCTGGCCAAGCCTGAGCTCGAATAATCTCATCAATTCCTGACACAACAATGTTTATCAAAGAAATGCAACTGAACCTTTAAAGAGACACTAATTACTTGGCTCCTGGGCTTAGTTATTCCCTTAGTCCATTCTAAAAGTGATAAAGGTGTTCCAAAAAATAGATATATTTTTACATCCCCCCTTTGTGATGATGGTTTAAATGTAAAAATAACCCCATTAATGCTGACAAGAATGCAAACCCAGGCTCCT